ATTGAACATCTTGCGAATTTCCATTGGAAATTGCCTTATTTTACGATTTTCCACAGATCTGATCAAATTTGTACGTCAACTATTCACACACAAGAAATCCGGAAGATCATAAGGCACTATTCTAATTTTCAATTGTTCTCAACAAAAATGTTCCTCAACACCAGCAGGATCCTGCCAAAAACGATACTTGAATTAAATTTTTCAACTGTACATCAAGTTTTGGAAGATCTCAGATGAACGAATTTATCGGGAAAAGGAAATAAGTGGCTACATTTCTACTCACAACACTGTTTTGACATTCTCCTATTCACCACTAGAGGTTGAATCTATCGCTTACCCAACAAACAAATCAAAGTCACAAATAAGCATAGACATTGAATAAATGCTGTATAACAGTGTAAAATGCTGAATAAAACAGAATGTCGAATTATGTCCTGAAAAAAGCTCATTTATGAAATTATGGAATAATTAGATTATATGATAATATTTTGTTTGTGTAAGCAACAAGAAAATATTGTGAAGTTTGTGTCTGACGCATAATACCTGCCATTTTTGCTACATTAGAGTCGCAATAAGCGATTTTGTCATTTATCTCACCCACTCTTCGCTCTTCACTCTTCGCGAAGAGGCGATCAGAAATACGCTCATTGTGACTCTGTTAAAGCTAAATTTGCATGTTTTGTGTGTCAAACATAAACTTTACAATCTTTTCTTGTTACTTACACATACAAAATATTATCATAATATCTTATTATTCCATAATTTCATAGAACATTTTTTTTAGCCAAAATGAATGGAAGGCTCTATAGATGTACCTTTATTCAGCTGTTTGCTCTGATAAGATTAATTTTCTTTTTAAAAGCTTTATAAACGTTGACTGTCCTCCTTACGCTTTAATTCAACTGTTTTCAATTGATTTAATAACTTGCATTATTAGACGTCTTATAAATGTTTTATAGCTCCATTATTAGATTTAATTGCATTGCTCTACAATATTGCTGTATAAAAGTGAATACAGTCAGCAAAATAGCTCTTATACCTACCACTTTGCATCCATGTTTTAATTGCATGCTTTGTAAATGCTTTATAAACGACGTATTAGATTCATTATTCCAGAACACTGGTTCAGTCTAACAACAAGACGAAATCAGTAGAGCGGTGGTTACCGTTTTTGCTTTCCAAGTAGAAGGTCGCGAGTTCAATCCCAAGCTCAACCCTTTTTATATTTGTGTTCTAAATTGTAATCATCGATCACATCACTCACGACAACAAATTCATTGATTTAGTTTAATAAATAACCCAGCATCCTTTCCTTGGAAATTGGAGAGGTGAAGAGGTAGAATTGGTCTCATGTAAAACAACGATGAATGAATTAATGATTCCCCCTGGACCTTAGGACGATCGGGAGTGCTGATAGGTATTCAGTTTCAAGTAAGCTTTTATTGAATATTGAGCAGCCCATATGTTGTATTCTAGGATAGCTTAGATGGCAAGGCAAGCGATTGGTGATCGGACAATAACAATCACTAAAGAAAAGACAACTCTGTCTGTCTGTCTCTACCATTCTTTATTTTCGGAATAATTTCAATGCAGTTGAATAATCGTTTAATAAATTTATAATAGTGTCTAATTTAAACGTTACTTTTCCCATATGATAATCAAGTGTATACATCATCAGTGTTTAAGAAACACTGATTAATAAAAAAAAATTGATCGAATAAGCTCTGTTACAACTCATGGAAGTCGAATAAAAGCTTCTCGACATACCTTAACCAACACCAGGCTTTGTGAACAAAGCCTGAACAGAAGTTATTGTTGAAAATTGTACAAGTATTATTAAGCAAGCAGTTGAATAAAATCGTCCAGAAGTCGTTTCTTCAATAGGCGATTGTTTGTTGGGTAGATTCTATTAAAAAGGCGTATAGTTGGTGTTCCACAATGTTGTGTCCATTTAAGAAAAGTTGGCATTTTTATAAGTTTTCAAATAAACATAAGTGTAAAAATCTATAAAATGCACATTTGATGTTATTGAATTTTTAACAGTTTTTTTTTTTTAATTTTTAACGAAAACGTGTGATATTTTTTTCAGCGTACTTTTTATGAAAAGGCAATCCTATTTTCTACAACTGGTCACGGACGTCATTTCAATTAGATGAACTGTTTTCGTGCTATGATTTATTGATAAATATCGAATACACCATTATGAAAAATTAGGCGTGAGTCAAAATGGCCGAATTCTAGCACAAACTTAGTTCATTGCCAAGTGAACAATCAAGCGAAGTTTCATATAATTCTGAAAGGGAATAATAAAATCGATTCTAGTTGCCGTGGAGTGGGATTAAAATTTTAAAATGCTTCTATTTCTCAAATAAAGCATTTATTATTATTTTCAATTATACCACAGGCAGGGCCTCAAAAAGTCACTTTCAATCGAAAATAGTCAAGCAACGACGAAGCTGTCAACCATCACTTTCAATTGAAAGTCATGACTTTTGTTGCATGAGTTTATGACTTTTTTTGCTTGCTCACTCTGTTGATTTAAGCGTATGCGCATAGATCTGTGCACGTGGATGTCAAATTTATCATTGTTGGTTTGTTTACTCATCAATATGGGTATTTTTTTAATTGGGGTGACGTCTACAGACCGAAAATTGAAATGTGACGCCATTTTGAAATAAAAGATGTCGGCTTCCAGTTTAAGAAAAAGTGCGAAATGCTGTCAAATACTTATCAATAAAGGTTTTTTTTTTTTTTTCTTTATTTTAGAGATTTTTAGCCTGAGGCTAGTTCATCTCTATTATCAATAAAGGTATTTTGGGAATCGTGATGATGTCTAGAGGATGAAAATCGATATCCAACGCCATTTTGAAATCGGAGATGGTGGCTTCCGATTTACGAAAAAGTGGAAACACAGTCAAATACACATCAATATTAGTATTTTTGTAATCGGTATGAAGTCTACAGATCGAAAATTGATATGCGACGCTATTTCGAAATCCATGATGGCGGCTTCCGATTTTAGATTCAGTGGGAAATACTATCAAATACCCATCAATATAGGCATTTTTGGAATCGGGATGGCGTCTAGAGGCCGTAAATCGATATCGGACGCCATTTGTAAATCCAATATATCCAGAAAAAATAATAGGAAATGCTGATGCAGTCCCAGGGATTTTTGGAATCGGGATGACGTCTGGAGATTGGAAATCAATAACCGACACCAATTTGTAAATCCATGATAGCAGCTTCCAGTTAGAGAAAAAGTTTTAGATTCTATCAAATACCCAAAGAAACAGTTTTTTTTAGAATCAGGGTAACCCAACAAACATTGAATGTTAAATAAGAGCTTATTCAGGCAAAAATAAGCTTCTTCAGCTAAAAAATGGCTTATTCAGCTGTTAATCAACCCAAATTGTTCGTTGGGAACGTCTAGAAGCCGGAAATCGATATCCAACGCCATTTTGTAATCCAAGGCGGCGGCTTCCGATGTGCGGAAATGTGTCAAATATCCTAAAATATGGTTTTTTTTTCAGAATGGGAATAAGACGTAGATGCCGAAAATTGATGTCACGCCGTCTTTACATCCAAGATGGCAGAAAAACTGAGAAATACTGTCAAATACCGATCAATGTGGGTTTTTTGGAATCGGGCTGACATCTAGAAGAAAGAAATTGATGTCCGACGCCATCTTGAAATTCCAGATGGTGGCTTCCGATTTCAGAAGAAGTGTTAAATAGCCTACAAATGGCATCGGATATCGATTTTCGGCATTCACACGTTGTCCGCATTCCGAAAATACCCAAATTGTAGGGTATTTGCCACTTTCTGAACCCTAATGGCCGCCATATTGGATTCCAAAGTGGTATCTGATATCGATTTTTGGCATCTACGCGTTGCCCCTGTTCCGAAAATAAACATATTGTAGGGTATTTGACACTTTTTCTGAAACCCTATGGCCGAGTCCAACATATCATCGGATATCGATTTTCGGCAGCCATGCGTTGTCTCCGTTCCGAAAATACCCATATCTTAGGGTATTTGACACGTTCTATGAACCTTGATGGCCACCATCTTGCATTCCAAAATGGTGTCGAATATCGATTGTCGGCATCCCCGTTCCGAAAATACCCATATTGTAGGATAGTTGATACTTTCTGAATCCTGATGGCCGCCATGTTGGATTCCAAAATAACTTTGAATATCGATTTGCGGCACCTTCGCGTCGTCGCCGTTCCGAAAATACCCGTATTGTAGGGTATTTGAGACTTTCTATGACCCCGATGGCTGCCATCTTGGACTCCAGAATAACCTCGTTAATTTAATTTTCGTTTAATATAAAATAATATATTATTACTACATATAATCCGGATGCCATCCCTATCGGCTACCGATATTGTGTGGATACTATCCGGATACTATATTTTGATGCCTGCGTCGTCAGGTCGTGACAAGTCGAATGAGCCCCTAATTGAAGTGAAAGTGGAAAAAACGAAGTTTTCGAGTCATTCATTGCGTCAATTGAAACAAGTCTTTACTTCAAATGAAATGAACTGAAGCAATTGACGAACGAAACAAGTGATAGTCCAGTCATGTTTGAAAAGAGGAATGTTCATCGTGACTCGATAACAAGAAACACGATGACTTACACGAAAATGATATTGCTCGAAATGAAGCGATTCTGCGGAGAGTTCATTTTCTTTTCTTTGTTTCGAAAATGCAGAACCCTGAGAGATAAAAATGCAAGGACTACCCAATAGACGTATTTGATTAAACATCCGAAATATGTGATAGTGGTTCAAATAGATAGATAATTAATTAAGTAATTGAAAGTAGATAATCTGCATCATCAAGCCGTTTTCAAGTTTTAATGGCCTATAGAGGCAAATATTCATGTGTCTCTGCGCGCCATTTTGCTACAGGCTAGATTCTAACACTTCAGGTTTTCGGGATGGTTTGTTGTTTGAAAAAGTATCATATACGGTTGGCTTTGTTAGAAAGATAGGGATTTATTTCTTATTGTATATCTTATAGATATCTTACGTTAAACCTATAATAAAAAGTTTTTTCTTCAGCGTTATATTTATCTCATAACTATCAACTCACATTTGGACATGAGCCAAACCTGAATGGACAGTAATAAACAGCAATTTATGGGTGAATAACAAGAGCAACATTTGAAAATAGTTTGCAAAACAGCCCAGCAAACATTTGAGCAGTTGAACATTTTAATAGATGTCTTTTGACTTAATAAGCTACAGTTTAGTATTTTACGATTGATTGAAAGAGTCTCCAATTGTTTTAAAGCTCTATAGATAATATCAGGATTGCTACAAATTCTCTGATATACTGCACTGGGGAGAGAGTTTCACACTCACTGAGGTGAATCACTGATCGTCTCTGCGGAGATTCTCTACGGGCTGAAGAGAAGACAAAGATGGAACAGGAGAGTGTAGAGGCCGGCGCACAATGCATACGTTTTCGGGTTTTTTAACAGATAATGCATGGGCTAACTGTCAAAAAACCTGAAAACGTATCTACGCCGGCCTTAAGAGCTGACAACTTCCTGATGATCAGTTTTCACTCTCTCTTTGGTGATCACTGCAGAGCACCACGCTATTGACAGTGATTTACGTTTGCAGTGAATCAAACTTTAGACATCCTGAGTACATTTCTAGTGATTTTCACTGAAAATTTAATGGTTGAATTTTGACTGGTTTTTGGTGCAGATTCACGAGAGAGCGTTTGTGTTCTTTGCAGGTCTCCTGGCAAAATATAAATTTTAGCCATTCTGGCAAAAATATAAATCTAAAACAAGCCTATCAATAAATGAAATTGTTAGGAATAAATTATAAATGAAGTTTGTGGATGTAATCATTGAGTCATTAATAAAAATATAAAAAGACAACATAGAACATCCATCTCACAAATGTACAAATCTCCACAACGCATGGTCTCGAATACATCAGTCTTTTAAATCAACTATAACAGTCCAAAGAACATACATTCTTACATAATATTTGAAAATAATTCAACAGTTCAATACTTTTATATGGCAATTGAAAACCTATAAAAGCCTGCTCAAGTTCTACGAAACTTACAAACCATTTTCAAATATCACACCCTTAGGGCACCAGCAACAAATTACAGATAATAGAGTTTCTTTTCCAGCAAGTTATTTGGAGCTTGATGCAAATGTTGTCCAGCCAGGAATGCCAACTTGTGGGCGTACTGGCAAACGGCTGGGACACCAACTGTTCCGGACCAATTGTAATACAGATGGGTCTGCTTGTAGGTGTACAGCTGCAACTGATCGGCCGTAAGACCGGACTCGTCCCGCAGAATGTTGTACGACGTTGGCGATACGGTGCCCTGACGAACGCTTTGCGACACCAGGAAAAAGTCATTTCTAGGAACAAATGAAGAGCGATCATTAATTTCATCAATGGCAAAAATGGAAGAATTTTTAAAACGATGTATTCACCTCTCCGGTAAAGTGATGATATCATCTACGATTGTTCCCGGTAATGGATTTTGCTTACGATGGAAGAGTCGTGTGTGGATTCTTTTGCTTACTACAAAGAACGATAATCGACCATGAGACGGTTGATCCTTATATGCCAAAGCCAGCTTTTCCTTCATGGCTCCAATTTCGTGCTCGTAGACGTACTTCAGTTGTCCCTCACCGACTCCGTCTCGGTATACAATAATTCGCTGCGGCAGAGCTCCATTGAAATCATTTCTGTACGAATGGATTGCCTTGATCATGTTCGATGCCATAAAGTTGGACAATTCCTCTCCACTCGAATGATGATTTACGGTTGAGAAATATTTTGGATGCTTCATTCCGGCTCCATACATTGACGCAACCATTGCTCCAAATGATTTAGATTTATCGCGTGTATCGTGACATACGTCGAACCCGATAACCATCACCGAAGTGAGTGGGTTCTTCAAAACCCATGGAATTCCACCCAATTTACAATTCAGTTGAATGGCAACTTTAGTGGCCACAGACATTAATGTCCGCACGTTACCACCCTTCGGAGTGATCGTTCTAGCCTTCATGACCTGTGTTGGTACAGCACGATCAACGCAACACTTCTTTTTAATGGCAGCATAACGATCAGCTTTATCGTTGCTCACCAAACACATAATCATCTGAGGATCCCGTTGAACAATCTGGTTCAAGCTCTCCACATAAACAGCCGGTGAATCGTTATGGATGGTAACTCTCTGGGGGTCTTCAATCTGGAATCGCATTTGCTTAGCGGCCTGCTTCAAACACGACATGAAATCGACCATAAGCTTTTCCGATCCAGCCGCTACGACGACATACCAATTGATCAATGGTACCGAAAGGAACATTGGATTGTTCCGGAACGCCATCTGCCAATCGGCCATATCGCCGGCTACAACGTTGCTAAAAATATTCAAAGTTTAATTCCAAAATTTTCTGGACACCCTCGAACAAGTAAGACATACAAAGAATCCTGTGTCGGATGGAAGAATATGTGTTCCGGTTGAAGAACTCGAGCAGGAACCTCAACCAACCGCCGATCCAACTCTGTTTTCCAGAATTGGAATATTTCAGCACTTTCTTTCGATTGCTGTAGGCGTTGGTTGAAAGTTTCCAACCGCTGGATGCGCTTATCTGGAGTTAATCGAGTATAATCAGCCAGTGTTCGCATCAGACTAAAATGTAAAAGATTGTCAACGATTAAGTGTTGCTCCCAATCAACCTCCCATCGGTACCCACTTGAAATTTCGTTTCATTTCGTCTGTAAGTCCGGTGGCACGAACCAGTTCCGGTACCAAATAGATTAACTCCGACATTCCAGCCCGTATTTCTCTCTGCTTGGCACGGGACACCAACATAGGTTGACGTGGATCACGGATTATAATGTTGTATCGATCTTTGAAATACTGCATGAACGTAATTCGACCACTTGACGTTTCGAATGCGCTCTCCGGAGTCGTGTTGAATTCTACATCATTAACAGTGTAGGTATTGTTCTTTCCATAAGAGGCCATCACCACAGATCCCAAAAGCATGCGCTTATAGTTGTCCTTCCAGTTACCACCCTGATTAGCGCACTGTTTGAACATGGTGTAACAAGTGTCTGTTCTCATCACTCGATGTGTCAATTCGGCGCACATCAGCACATCATGCTCATGTTGACGAATGCTCGTCACATAGCCAGGATACAGCTCAATTCCGTACTGGCTGATGCTGATCTTTGCAATAGGGTCAAAATAATTCCGCCCAATCATCTGTAACTTCAGACCGCCCATTGCTTTCCTGTTTATCAAATTGAAGATCACGAATGCCATTTCATTAGTACCGTCAATGGCACCGACTTTTCGGAGCTTTACAATATACTCCTGGTTTGTAATAGATTCCTTGGTCGTAATCTCCACTTCTTCGCTACGAAGCTTATGTCTGGTGAACAGTTGTGTTCCATCGAACAGGTACCCACCGAGGACTCCCTTCAGAGTGTAGATGATCGAGCTCATCATTTTGCTACTCTCCACCGGAGGATTGAAGTCCACACGATACTGAAAGATGGCCTCATCGTCCTTTTTCGTCACACGGAAATAGTTCGTCTGCAGAACGATCGGTGTTCCAGTTTTACCATGCTTTGTAATGGTACTGTTCGTCGGTCGCGTACGAACGATTTCCTGTAGTATTCGCTGATTACGAGAAGCTCCACGACCTGGCGCTTCTCCGGTGGCACCCCTTTGAGGACGTGGTCCTGCTGCACGAGGTACACCTCCATCAGCACCAGCTTGCGGTTGTTGCTGCATTGGGGGTTGCTGCTTCATTGGGGGTTGTTGTTGCTGCTGCATTGGGGGTTGTTGTTGCTGCTGCAATGGGCGTTGCTGTTGCTGCTGTGGCTGCTGAGGTGGGCGCTGTTGTCCCCATCCTGGAGCTTGCTGCTGCTGAGATGATTGTTGCCCCGCAGGTTGTCCAAGGGAAGGCCAAGCTTGACCCGGTGGTGGTCCACCAGATCCTTCACCACCACCACTGCCGCCACCACGTTTTTTGTAGCCCCCGCCACCACCGCCGCCGCCGCCGCCGCCACCTCCTCGGCCGCGACCGCGACCTCCACGGTTACCTTGTTGTCTATCCGCCATTGAAGGGCCAAGCCGTTCTAAAAATGCAATCACTGAATGTGAGTTCTGTAATTTGATTCATAGTTTTAAGAGTACTGGATTGTTTGCTCGTGTTATAGACCCGAAACTTACCGAATCTCTAAGGCTTTCCGGTAGACACAAAGAACACTAACCGATCTATTTGATTCGACCACGCATTCGACTAAAATCATGCAGAAACGGATTTATAGCATGCAAGTATTGACAAGTGTCTGTCCCCCTCCCCCTGCGGGGACAATCATCCATTTATATTTAAAATCCCCCCTATCCCTTGACCACAGTAGATTATATAATATATCAGGCGTAACATTTGATAACGGCACCAAAGCTTTTGAAAACAAAAGTTGTAAGGCCCCTTACACGCGAACCGAAGAACGCCCACGTAAACCAACATCATCATCGGGTGGGAGAAATTTTCCCCTTTCCGATAATTGTATTGGTTTGCGTAGGCGTACTTCAGTTCGCGTGTAAAGGCCCTTACAACTTTTGTTTACAAAAGTGTTTGTGCCTTTATCAAATGCTACGCCTGATACTTGATGCATATGTGTGACAGTGAGCATGCATAAGGGCGTATACGTGATGATCGATTCTCTTCATCGATTTTCTTTTTGTATTGCTACAACTAAGCGAAACAATTTTATAGAATTTGTTCAATGCAGAGCTGTTACAGGTTGTATTGGCCGTCAAATGCAACAGAAAACGCACCGATAAACGTTAATTCTAGCAAGTTATTAACAAAAGAGAAAATCGACGAAGAAAATCGCTCATCGCGTTTACGCCCTTATGCATGCTTACTGTCGATATTATAGATCATGTTTAGCGTTCAGAATTATTAGGGCCTAACTGCGATGATCGATTTTCTTCATAGATTATCTCTTCGCATTACCACAGTTCGAATTTTCCGGATTTGACGCAATACATTGTAGTTAAAGGTTGTATTAGCTAGCAACGACAATATCACTCGCACCGATAAACGTTAATCCTGCCGGGTTATTAACAATAGAGAAAATCGATGAAGAGAATCAATCATCGCAGATATATTTCACGAAAATATCACAATTTTATTATGTGTCTTCATGGTCGTCATAGGTAATAAAAGTACATGGTTACAGTTGAATTCTGGGCATACATTTCATCAAAGAGAAAGAAATTTCTACACAAACCCAATATGTAGATTTTTTTTGGTTTATTGTTTATGCGGGATGTTTATCAAGTAATTTGACATGTTTACAGCAAAAATCTGTAAATTTACTCACGCGCCCTGGGTGTAATCGAATTAAGGTGGAAGAGGCGAATGAAACGTGAATTGAACCAGCCATCGTCTATACTGCAAAAATCAGGCGACTATGGTAGGCTGGGCACGTCATATCAGACTACAACCCAGTGATAAGGGTCTTCCACACCGACCCGACTGTAACTAGACGAAGAAGTGCGCAGCGGGACAGGTGAGTCGACCAAGTGGAAGGCGATCTGCGGAGCGCCTCCGCAAACAGCATGATTGACGACATGCAGCCATGAATAGAGGGGAACGGAAACAATGTCTATGTCCAGTTAATGAAAAGATAAGATAGGCAGTTCCTAAATGGTTGCAATCTAATTTTCGGCCAACTAGGCGCATACCGTACTTTATCTCTCTTTTTCGAGCGGAGTTTTAGACAAAATTGATTTTTTTTTAATGCAGGTGACTTCTAAATTGGTTTACCTTTTCATATGTACCGCTAGATTTGACAATGATTTTTTTTTTATTAAAAATAATTCTTCATTCAAAATTTGACCAACGGGATGCCGTTAGTACAGGGGAGGTAATCAGGACATGTTTAATCTTATAAGCGACCGTCACCAGATGTTAACATATAATGGGGGGAGGGAGGTTAGTTGTGAAGCTACCTTTGCATGAAATGTTTTAATTTTTGGAAATACGTTAACCTAAAAGAACGCCTTAGAATACACACTACCCGTCATAAGTATGGAATCACTTGAAAAATTATTACATCACTCATATTGAATATTACATCACCTTAAAAAGTTTAGCATCACCCAAAGAGAATGTGAATACGTGGGGTGATCCTAAACTTTTCAAGGCGATGCAATGTTCAATAGAAGCGTTGCAATACTTTTTCAAGCAAGTCCTTACTCATGACCGGTAGTGTATGTCGAATTTATATACATCACACTGTGGGAATTGGAAGATGAACCAGCCCAGGGAGCCGGCGCCGGTGATGTAGTGGTAAGCGTGACTGCTTTCTCACCCCAAAGGGTCTGGGTTCAATCCCAGCCGAGGTCGGTTGGATTTTTCTGAGGCATAAAAATCTCTGGTCATGTCTTCCTTCGGAAGGGAAGTGAAGCCGTTGGTCCCGGCCCATGTGTGTTGATAAATGGGTGCGATATCCTATGCAGGTGTGGAAGCTGCCTTCCTGCACATTCGATTGCCGTCAATGGATATGGCAATCGATGTCCGTCGGTGATTGGCACTAGATTGCGGAACAGAGACCGACGTTAAAAAAGGAATGAAGAAGAAGAAGAACCAGCCCAGGGCTGAAAGTCTCCTTAATAAAGATATTTTAAACAAAACTGTGGGAATTTTACAAGTAAAAATGATTAAAATCAGTTTCCGCTGAGAGATCTCAATGTATTTTTATTTTTTGGGTTAAGATTAAAGAATCAAGGAATCAATAAAGCGAGAGATATGAGAAAAGAAAAGATTGGATTCCATCAGTCTATTGGTACTACTCCTAGACTGCGTTAAATTTTAATTTTCCGGATGTTTGAGGTTGTCCACAGAAAAACATGAGGCATTGGCATTGGCAAATATCTATTGCTGATTAATCATGAAATGTATAAGTCAACTAATAAGAAGACGTTTTGTAAAACGTTAATGAAGATCATGTGTCAAATTAAATGTATAAATGGTTACACAAACCGTTTATGCAGTCTTATAGTACCTATGTGGTATGTCTTATGGAATTTATAAGACTGATGTTTTGGTAAAAATTTATAAGTGAAACACATGAATAAAATAATTTGTGTTTCGTGAATTTACTCCATTTACTCCTGCACTTTCTGCGATTATGAGTAAACTGAACTTAATTTGGATTGATCTCATTGGCCGTGTGGAGAGTTGACTGTAGTCAACTTCTGGAGCGAATCGAGCATGGCATTTTCTTATTGCATCAATGTGGTGGAAGTATTGTGATCGTGCGATAGTTAAATCTAACGAAACTGAAATACTTTTTGGTGGTCTATCAATGTGTTCCTTTGCACTATTTTTGTGTGTCTTCACATTGACGCGGGTAACGCATAGGTTATAAAACCTGTACTATTTCATTATTTTTCCTACATACATAATGGCAAACGTCGATAAGTGAGTTTATCGATATTTTGCTTGAACATTTCTTTCTAATTAGTATAAAATCGTAAGTATCGATACATAGCTTATAAAAAAAAATTGTTGCTCAAAACGAAAATGTTCTGCAAAAGCTTGAGCATTTTCATGAGGTTCAATCTGATTTGCTAGTTTGCGGTTTTTGTATCCGCCAGACTATGAATATAGTGACTGTAATAAATCCCCATCGTCTGAAACAGCTTCATTTTTCGCATACCGAACCTGCTTTCTGACGAATACCATACCATAAATTGGCAGCTCGACCCACACTAATGGCGGAAAGCTGAGACGATGATTTTAGCCAATGTAACTCGTAAATCAGGACGGATGGTGTCCCTACCTACGGATTTCAATTTCATGCAAACACATAATAACGTCATTGGATTTACTTCGTCATACGAATGAACTCAAAAATGGAATGGAAAAATGGATTCGATAGAAGTGCTTCTTTTGTTTTTGAGAACAAAGGATTTGAATATTGATACTTTGTGTTGTGGCTTTTAAACTAAAGTATCGGTCCAAACGTATAATTGAATCATTAACGACGACCTCATAAACCAATGAGAATAACTCAGAGGGAGAGTCACTTCTACCAACCGATGGAAACTAATGATTACAAAATTGACTCACTATTTGACTAGCCTATTGGTCCCAAGTACATCTACACACCAAAAAATTCTTAATTTTACTGGCGATGTAAACATCCATGCATGCAAACATTCATACATGTAAACTTCCTTTTCACGTAAACTAGCAGCTTGCAAGAAATGTTGCAAACAAAAGTGGACAGTTGTATACAATATTTGGAATATTGAATGACATGTCTCATAAATTTACACGATCTATAATCTAAACTTGTATGATATATGACGCTCCATTTATGTGCATCATAGTAACGGAAATTTACACTACTTTTTTTTAGCTGTGTATAAGCGTACCCCATTCTAGTCGAAATTCTAGTACTACACTATGTTTGTTTTGATTCGCTATGAAAGTTTGACAGGTAAAATGAGGGGTTTTCCTATGTTTCGAGGGGTGCATCGATTAGCTTGAGACCGAAGATAGTACCAGAGCTGAGCCAAAAAGTTGAGCACGTTTCTTCGGAAACTTCTGGTCTTAGAGTTACCTCTATGGTAGAAGTGACTCTTGCTTTGAGTTATTCTCATTAACCATGTAGATATATTTGATGTTTTCTGTTCGATAGGACGAAAATGGATGATTAGGCCATAGTAAAATTTTACCATAGATCTGGTTATTCAATATTGAATATTGTGATTTCATGAGCATTCATATTTCGTGACAAGTACAATGATATTCTATTTATATTCCATAGCAATGGATTTCAACGTTTTGTTCTGTAGAAACATGGTCAATTTTACCCCACCTATCCATTTCACCACATTCAAGAAAATGACCCATTAGAATTTAAAAAATTAGATGTAGGGTAAACGCTCCTGTTGCGGTACGTTAGAAGCGTTAGGTTCCTATAGTTGTGTATGGAGACTCCATACACAACTATAGGAACCTAACGCTTCTAACGTACCGCAACTATACTACACTACACACTTAATTTTTTTCGCCGAGATTCCAACATGTGAATAGTTCTGCAATTTAT